GAGACAGAAACTGGGCCGGCTGCTTTGTGGGGATTCTGACTTTTATGCAGCCTGTTAACGTCTCTCAAGAATAGAGAGTCGTCACTGAGATGGGGGGGCACTGGGATGCGTGTTTGAGAGACGTGGGCCTCTGCTGGGCTGGGGGAGGGGGACCTGGTGGTCTGTTGCCCTGTCCACATTACTCCGTTTTTACTCCGTATTTGCTACGTTTACACTGAGCGGCCACACTACGCCGGAGTTTTGGAGCACCCTAAATGGAGGAGTTTGAAAACTCCCCCGAGGTTGGAGGTATTTGAGAACTCCGGGGTTGCGTTTGCGTGTGGACGGTCGGATACGGATGTGCTTAGAAAAAATGACGCCCACACCCGTGTTCGCTACTGGATTGGTTCTTAGCAGCCATGACGTCTCAGTCCCTGAATCGTCACACTCACTATCACGTGACCCGTACCCGGAAGAAAACAAACTGGGCTACTAGCGATTCATTTCAACATGGATAACTAATTGCAAGCGTTGCTGCTAGCACAACAACTACATGATGTTGCTGCTAGCACAACAGCTAGCAGCAGCTAGCAGCTGTTGTGCAGTAAAAGTCTGCATTTCTGTGGAGGAAGCAGCTGTTATTGGAGTGATTAGCGAGCGGCGTGACCGGCATCAGCCCCATGGAGCAGCTCGTTGTTTTTAGATTCTAATGAGAAGACACGCTGCACTAACGTTTTACTTCTTCCTTTTGGTAGCCTTGAGAGACCTTAGTCTGTAAGTATGTCTTTATGAAGCATGAAAAGATGTAGATATGAATAGATATATTCTATTCGCGTGTTTAGTATAACATTTGTGTTGTATTAAATGCTAATCGAGGTTAGCATTTCTCCATTGGCGGTAATGTTAAAATTAGCTTAGAAGCTAGCTAGGCGGACATGTTACATGCTGGCTATATCATGGATTGTTGTTTTGTATTCATGTAATGTGTATACGGACAGTTTGTAAAGCCATATTTCATATTATGTTTCCACAGTTTTACAAATAAGAAAGATTCACACTGAAGTCTTGAAACTCTTCTACAGATTCCATGGTCTTTATTTCACGGATCTACTGTTAGCGATCTGCTAAGCTTTCCTGCACGAAGCAAGAGCAGAATAGAGTGAGACGTGTGTTGACCACATTTATGGACCATAATCTAGTAAACGTTTACGTGTAAGTGTTGATTTTAAAGTACATTTGATGCGAGAGAGAAAGACCCGCAGCGCTGTAACTGAGTCTGAAAAATAAAACTTCTAAAACTTTCCACGAACTGTCTGTTTGAGTTTATAGAGGGAGATTTTAGAGGAAGATCTTAAGTATCAAATACAACCTTTCATTATTAAAGACTACTTTATTACTCTGTCGTATTTTTTTTTTTAACTAAGCAAGCAATCCACTTCCTGTTTACACCGTCACGCGCATGCCCAGTGTACGTTAATGGTCACGTGCTGTCCACCTTCGAAGGCTGCCGTGTGGATGCAGATCAACTCGAGAATGATGCTGAAACTCCCGTGTGGACGGAGATCGTTTCTATTGACAACTCTGCATCCAAGGAGAAACGGAGTAGTATGGACAGAGCCTGAGGCTGGTTGATGGAGCCGTGGGGGGGTGGGGTCAGGAATGTCCCATTGTCTTTCAAATCTACAGTAGAAGTTGTTCAGCTCGTCTGCCAGGCATTGTTCATTCATGGGGGGGGGTTTAGGCTTGTAGGTTATCTGTCTGAGGCCTCCAGACAGAAGCAGAGTCATTGGCTGAGAGCTGGTGTTGCAGTTTTTCAGAGTTCAGTCGTTTAGCGTCTCTCACCGCCTTACTAAACCTGTTCTTTGACTCTTTGTACAAGTCCTTGTCCTCACTCCTGAATGCCTGATCCTTGTGCAGCCTTAGCTGTCTGAGTTCTGCTGTGAACCAGGGTTTGTCATTGTTGTAACTCACCTGGTGCTTGATGGAACACAGCTGTCCTCACAGAAGCTGATATATGAAGTCACAGCCTCTGTGTACTCATCCAGACTGTTGGTAGCAGTCCTGAAGACATTCCAGTCTGTGCAGTCCAAGCACGCCCGAAGGTCCTCCAGAGCCTCACTGGTCCACTTCTTGAATTTCCTCACCACAGGTTTAGAGCTTTAGTTTCTGCTTGTAAGCAGGAATCAGATGGACCATGACGTGGTCAGAGAGTCCCAGTGCAGCACGGGGGACGGCGTGATAGGCCCCGCTGATTGTGGTGTAGCAGTGATCTAATGTTCTCCTCTCTGGTTGGACATTTTAATAACCTGTCTGTATTTGGGGAGTTCATGACTCAGCTTACCTTTGTTAAAGTCACCAAGGACAACAACTGAAGAATCCGGGTCTGTCTGCTCCACAGACACAGTAACTGGTTGGTGAGCGTGCCGCGAGTCGTTAGAGCTCAAAATTTAGCAGCCATCTTCTCGCCTCTCCATCGAAAGTCGAGAGATTGTTCTCTTTTCTGTTCAGTACAGTGTTCGTATCAACCTGTCCCATTATCAAACCAATGAATACGCTCACTGTTACATCACTAGTTGGTATGTAGTCACAGTTTCCCTCAATGTGTGTTTCCTGTTTCCTGCAGACGTCCAGCAGCTGATGGTGGTTAAAGAAGAGGTTCCCCCTGAACAGCAGGAGTGGAGCTCCAGTCTGGACCAGGAGGACCCAGAGCCCCCACACATTAAAGAGGACCAGGAGGACCCAGAGCCCCCACACATTATAGAGGAACAGGAGGACCCAGAGCCCCCACACATTAAAGAGGAACAGGAGGAACTCTGGACCAGTCAGGAGGGAGAGCAGCTTCAAGGTCTGGAGGAGGCTGATATCAAGTTCTCATTCACTCCTGTGAAGATGATGAAGAGGAAGCTCAGTCCTCACAGCTTCATCAAAGACAAACTGAACAGATGGAAACAGAAGCTGATGGAGAGGACTGTGGAGGACCAGAACCAGACAGGAACTCAGATCCAGATAGACATCCAGAACCAGATACTCATGAGGAGACTGGAGACTCTTCTGACACTGATGACAGTGGTGATTGGAAGGAGACCAGAGAACCTCAGTCAGGTTTAAACTCTGTGAATAATGACGTTTCTGTCAGTGAGTTCAGATGTAGTGATGGAGAGAAACCATTTAGCTGCTCTGAGTGTGGGAAAAGATTTACATCGAAGACAAATTTGAAGATACACATGGTAGCGCATAGAGGAGAAAAACCTTTCAGCAGCTGTGTGTAAGAAATCCTTTAAACGAAAGTGCATTATCATAATGTCAATAAATAAATTCAAAATGGAAATGTCCCGGCTTGTGTGCATGTTGGTGTTGGTCCCGGGGTAGAAACGTTAAATTTCAAGGTACATTAAGGAATTTAATGTTTGGACTGTAAAGGTCCTCAAACTTAAATTCTATGCATGGATTAGTTTGATATATATGTTGTTTATGTATGTTGTAATATAGTTTATAGATTATCTCTGTCCAGCCTAACTTCTTCATCACTATATTGGAAAACAACGACTGCCTATAATGGTCTGGAACAGGACTCAATTTGCTCTGGACTTGGTCTTGGACTCGGTCTTGGACGTGATTAAGTTGGTCTTGACGAAACTGGGACGAGTAAAGAAACAAAGCGGAGCCCCAGCTTGTTATTCCAGCTGCTTTCAAGATGCCCGCAGACGTAGGAGCAGACTGGAATAAAACAACGAGAGAAGTTTATGACACTTACGTCGGCTTACAGCCAAGAGGGAACTAAACAGTGAAACTCCTCCTCATACACGTATTTTTCCATTATTCTATGCATTTTGGTATATTCCATTTCACAACTTTGGAGATACTTTCCGGTTTGTTCAGTGTTTGAATAATGTGACACAAACGTGTTTGAAATGTTCCTTATTTCTATAATGAAATGTATACCAAAATCACTGAACACATCACTGGTCTCCTGGTTATACTACACTTATCCAGGAGGAGACCATTGATGTGTATGATATTTATTAAGTTTATTAAATGATTAAATTAATAAAATACACACTAGAGAATACCTCAGATCTTCTGTTAAATGAAACACTTCATTCAAAAATAGAATATTTTTATTAAAAAACAAGTTTCGTCATTGTGTGGCTCACACATTATTCATACGATCTGATTCTTGTTAAGATGGAATAAAATAAAATGTTTCATCACATGTTCCAAACAATGAACAGAATAAACATCTGCCGGGTCCCCTTACAGCAACCATCACAAGTGTTAGTGACCCTAACAGAACAGAACATGGAATTCCAGTTCCTCCAACTGTCTTCAGAGCAAAACCTCATGGTGTTTAATACTGAATGAGAGGAAATGTTTGATGTGAGACGTTGACAGGTTCAATTATTCATTAAGAAAAAATAAATAGAGATTGTACTTTGTGTTGATGTTGTGAAAGACACAAGGTTTATTTTGGAACTTTAAAATAAAGGTCCCAATGTTCTGTGTCTGTATAAATGTGTTTATGTTCATGTGTGTGTGAGAGCACATCTGTTTGTTTGTTTGCACGTATACACACATGTATTTATATATGTTTACTCATCTTGTTTTACCACTTAACTAATTTATTATTTTACTATTATTGAAATGTTCTGTCAAAAGTTATCTTTTTATTGTCCTTTAAAGCACGTTACAGCATCTGTTATCTAATTAAGTTCATTATTATTATTATTATAATACAACAATTAAAAACAGAAATCAGACTATCTATTGAATCTTTACACGGAGTGAAGAAGAAGAAATGTGTGAAACCTTAGATATTTGTCTTTGATGTTGGTATTGATTCATGTTCCCTCTACGTCTGTACTTCTGTCTGTTTTCTACACTTGTACATTAAACATGAAACAATAATATAATGAATAACAATACTGACACCAGCTTCAATATTACTTCTTTAATTTAAAGTACCACAACATTACGGGTCGGGCAGAAAGTCTTCAGTTTTATTTTGAAAGCTGTCCCCGGAAGTGATAGTTGGAATTTCCGCCGGTTAGCTTCTCCGTTAGCCTCTCGTGAGCAGAGAGAACCGTTAGCTGAACCTAAATAACGGCAGAACAACCCGTCAGAGTTTAGTTCCGTAAACAGAACGGAGACGGACCGGCACCGGAAACTGCTGCACGAAATGAAACCGAGAAGAAGAACAGGTTTGTTTTCTTTCCAATGATGCTAAGCTAACGTTAGCTGGTTAGCTGCAGCTAGCTGTCTTCAGCTCGAGTCTTTACTGAGTGTTTGTTTATTAGAACCAGTATTAGAAAGTACACAAGTACATTTACTCAAGTACTCTACCGGAGTACTGCTTACAGGTACTTGTACTTTATTTTCTTCTTCTTCACACTTTTAACTGCACTGACGTCATCGATCAACAGCTTTAGTTACTTCACAGATTCAGAGTATTAATCCACTAATAAATGAAGTATTATTAAATATTAAACCAGCAGCAGTACATAAAGTCATTAAAATGAGCTCCATCTTTAAAGTAACAATTATATATATTAGTCTGCATAGTGATCGCCTTTACTTCAGGTAGTATTGTTCTTTTACGTATAACCGAGTATTTCTACACTGTGGTATTAATACTTCTACTGAGGTAGAAGATCAGAGTACTCAGATGAACTGAATCTCTTTAATGCACCATGAAAATGATTGAAGCTGCTTTCAATAGAATAATAGTTTGAATTAATATCAATATGTTAATAAAAGCATAAATTAATGTATTATTGTTATTCTATTGTATATATTGTGCATTTTTTAATACTTAATATTTTTGGTTACTTGGTGTGTCTTGCTGCTGTAACACACATTTCCCCCTGGGGATGAATAAAGTACATATCTATCTATCTATCCTATATATGTATTATATATGTATTATATATTTATTATGGGAGGTTTAATGGAGTATCTTATTGGGTCAATACCTCTTATCTCATCTTCTCCATTAATGCTTTAATATTTTAGTTTTTATCTTAAATTAATGCAGAAAAGTAAAAGTAAGCAGATCAATATAAATGATATTGTGTTATAATTATTGAAGCATTAATGTGTTGATCACTTTAAAGACGGAGATCATTTTAATGACTTCATGCTGCTAGTATAATCTGTAATACTTCATTTATTAGATTATATTTAGTGTTAATAATCTGAATCTGAAGTAACTAAAGCCGTCAGATAAATGTAGTCGCGTACGTTAATATTGTGAAGTACTTGCATTCAAATGTACTTAGTTACTTAATATATGAATTACTTAATAAACCTTAATAAAGATGATGTAATGTTACAGCAGGACGGACAGAGAACATTTTTATTCCGTTTTATTTTGTAGGATTCTCACGATTACTACTTTTAAAGGATGATATTTTGGGTTAAACTATATTATTGTAATTTTAAGACTAGAGATGTCCTGATCAAGTTCTTTGCTGCCAAACTGATTCTTGTTGTTGTTGTTGTTGTTGTTTAGTTAGCAGCTGGTAAACAAGGATCCAGACTAACTCTTCTCCAACGTCCTGAGAAATAATTTCAATCATCTCAAACTCAAATGTTCTGCTTTCATTGTGTAGTGATCTGTAGCGGTTACTTTGGAATACATTACAGTATTTTTATTGATTTTAATGAAGCATAATCAGATGTTTAGAGCTCGTTCAACGGTTCATTATTCTCTCTCCAAAATCTATTTCCTGTTGCTGTGAAAACATCTGTTTTTCATCTAATATACATTTTACAAGAATATATTTGAACTCGATATACATCGTGATAGCGTTATAGTTTACCTTCGGCCAACGCTCAATTTACTGATTGGAGCTTGAACGCATCGTATTGTGACTCGATACATTAGTTACCTGGACTCGACCAATCGATCGGGACATCCTATTCAAGATCCTTTCACACCACAGATATAATGATATAATAGCAATACTTTAAAGAGAGAGTGCGACAAAATATGAGAAGATTCAACACCGATATAAAACATGAATGAAATGGGCTCTGAGATAGAAGGACATGTGGTACCGGAGTAAAGAGAGCAACAGGATATCCTGACGAGCACTTTCTCACTTGTTGGGACATCGGTAAGTTAAAGTAACGCTCTCCTCTCTCATTCGCCTCGAACCCAGAATGTTCCCACTCTGGAGCTGTGGGCCATCAGTCCATAACGTTAGCGATGTGGGAGAGGGAGTCCGAGTATCTCTGGGTTTAACTTTAACTTCTGTCGATCTCCATCTACAGATTTGATCTAGTTACTGTAGTCAGCTGCTGGCTTCGCCGTGAGTGATGTGTTGATTCCCCGTATTAATTCATATATATTGATCTTTTTATGAATAGAGACAATTAGTATTAATATTGATAATTCTCTTTGATGATTGTGCCGTAGCACAGAAAGCTACTCCAAAGCTCTGTTAATGGTAGCGTGAGCCTCCGAACTCCCAGCATGCACAGCAGGTTTTATACTCAACGCGCTGTTTGTTGTGTTATTGTCCTAAACACCAGAGGACGAACAAACAAAAGAGAACTGAGAGTAACAGAGAGATATGAACATAGACTGTAGATGTAACCGACAACTGATAAGGAGGGATTAGAGTTATCTGTAAACTCAAATCTCATTCATAAACTACTTTATTATTTTATACAAACCATGTAAAGAAGGAAGTAAAGTATTACATTTATTATGAAGAAACAAAGGTTGAACATCCTGTAAACTATTTGATTTGGCTGCTACATTTTTAACACTTCGTGTTTCTAAAATATCTAAAAATGAATTGTTCTTCTTTGTAAAAGTCCTCTGACATGTAAATAGAGTTTCTATCAGTGAACTTACTGTGAGTCACGCGATCACACTCCAAGTTACAAAACTTGAGCTACGGCGAGTATAAACTGAGCTTAAGGCTAGTGTACTGCTCAACATCATGCCATACATAATGTTATGGGGAACCCCGATGTCGTGTTAAAGGAGGTAGAATCCCCTCAGAGCTCAAAACGCCTCTACAGAGTTCAGACCGCTAATCAAAAAAGAAAATCACGCGCTACTTCAAAGATTTTGCCTTATTGAACTTCCAAACACCAGCTCTAAGCAGCTAAAATACATCATTGAAAGCACTAATTCCAAGATTTTATTCATTACAAATACAATCTTTTATTTCCTTATTTGAATTCTGTGTTTTATGCAAATAACGATATAGACGACTATAACAAAGTAAAGGGACAACATTTCGAACTGTTGGTGGTTTACGCTGACCAGCTGCATAACAAAACAAAACAACAAAAACAACCTGTATACCATCGTCGATCAGCAATAAAAGCGTGATTGGGCATTTGTTAAAGTTATATTTGCTCGCCAACCTTTTGTCAGCTGATCCGATCCACGACTCAAAACCACGAAACGATCAGAACCGTGATTGTTGTGTGTACGTTGCACCCCTGGTACCGCTCTGCTAACCCTGAGTAAACAGGTTTAGTACCAGTGACAACAACGAGCTGCTAACTTAAGGAGAGCAAACGACCGGAGCGATCGGTTTTCTTAAAATCTGCACAAATGGATAGAAACCGAGCACGGACTGCATCGGAACCTCAACTACTTCCTCGCCTGGCGTCATCCTTAAACGACAGCGCCAGCTAAGCTAACAAAGCAGAACGCTAAGTAACACCGTTTCCTCCGTGGACTTGGTAATGTAACTAGCAAAGCACAGCATTAGCACAGTGATGGCACGTGGCTAAGCACGGCTGTTTTGCTTTAACTTCTGTCAACGTACATGTATTCATTTAATTTGATACTGTTCAGAGTTTTTTATTGTTGTGATTTCATTGTAGTCAGCATATTCGGGATATTTCTTTCTCCCATTGGTTGGTTCAGTTTAGTTAGATTAATATTGTTAGTTTCACCTTTATTATCTTGTAAATTAATGTTTGTGGAATGTACATGATGGTCTGTTGAATGTTGTACAATAGTGAAAACTGGTGATATGGTCATTTTTGGGTATATTTTTAACTAGGGCCCGAGCACCGACGATAGTGCGCCCCTTTTGAGTAGCCCCCATGTTGCTTTTCACCTAGCTGTATGACATTTGGTAGGTATATGTATATGACATACAAAAAGCCTCTTAGAGGTATGTCCTAAACCCAACAGGAAGTCGGCCATTTTGAATTATGCGATTCTTTTTTTTTTCTTTTCAAAGATTAATGGAACTATGTGTCCGTGGCGGCAAAAACACACTATTCGCCATGAAACAGGAAGTTGTAACTCGGCCGTACATTGTCTGATCTACTCCAAATCTCTCATATGTCACAACATCCTGACCCTGAAGACATCTATATGACAATTTAGAATCATAGTAATAGCGCCACCTAGTGGTAACAGAAAGTTACATGGTTGTGTACTTTTACATCATCCTCACAGATTAATCAGATCCATCTCAAATTTTGTCAGAAAAGCCTTAATACCTAAAACATCTGGTCAACAGTTTCTAACTGCCCATTGACGCCTCCATTCAGCCCCTCCCTCTTATCTCATCTAATCCTTGTCCCTCTAATTCATGTCTTTTATCACCCTTGTTTATAACTGGGAGTCCTCAAACCTTGAAGTGTTATCTACAAAAAAACAAAGAGTCAAACCACCAAACGGGCTGACAATAGAAACAGGTGAACATGTCACAGTAGAGAAGCAGCAGCATAGGGAAAATGTTCCATACCATTCCACCTGTTTGATCATAATCATTGATCAATCATAAGTATACACTAGTGTCCATTTGGAACATCTGTATTAACAATTCATAAGGCTAGTACATTTGAAGTATCTTAGCAGTTTTTGTGTAGCATTACTGAGATAAGTACAAGCTGTGGAGGGAAATGAATCATTCTTTACACATGGGTGTCATCATGATGTGTCAGCAGAATAGGTATTAAAATGTACATGCTAAAAAACAGTAGGCAACACGTGCTTCTGAGGCCACATAGTTCTCGTTGTCTAAACGGATGTCAGGGTCTTTGGCATTCCATCGTTGTCCAACGGTGGTGAATTTGCCTTTTCACTCGTGTAGGTGTGTTTAATTTACAAGTTTATTCATCTCTAACAATACTGATTTAAAGTCAATAATATTATAAATCAAGAAAACATGTATTATACAATTTCAAGCATACTACCTAAACAACAAACAATCACGTAATGTAACAGTACAGTTAAACTTAAAACAAAACAAACAATGTTACAAACAAACTATGACCTCTCTCTGCCCAGACAAAAGCCTCTTACTTGAGATATCTTCGTAGTGGTTGGTGTGTTTATTCTGACTTGTTCAGTGGAATTTCTCCTGCCTAGGACCGGGGACCGTACCGCTGTGTCAGTGTGTTAAGCGGCAAGCTGACTGTCGTCTGCCGGCGAATGTCGACTTGAAGAATCTAGGAGTTCCGTGTTCTTCCTTCTGCAGGTTAAAGTGGCAGACCACGGGTTGAGTTATCCATCTCTCCTTCAGGATCCAAAAACAGCGTTGTTCGGCCAGCAAAGTTAGGACTTTAACCTAGGTTTTTTTCTTTAAACTCCCCAACGTTGTTTCACCTCCTTTTTAGCAACGTGAGTTGCATGGACGGCGTGGGGTCTATGTAGCCTTGGTGACGTCGCAGCTGTGTCACAGGGACTCCATGGGGTGCCCGTGGCTCTTGTTCAATGATGCACCAGTTTTGTGGTAGTCCCCAAGACCCGAAAGCTGCTCATCTTGAAGCACTGAATGAAGTCCAGACCCTGTTTCATGAGAGCTACTCAATCCAGTCAGATCTCTGCCGCAATGGGGAGAAGCTGTGACAAATTGATGTTCTCCCATATCAGAGCAACAAACCCATGACCAGATCCAAGCAGGACCTTGAAGTTCTGGCTAAGCTAGATAACGGGACAGCACATGCAACACTGGCTGTTGCTGACCGATACGCCACTTCACTACCTGGGCTTAGTACAGCCCCTCTATTACAAGCCCCCGAGGAAGTTACCTTTCAGCTATGAAACTCGGCAATCTCTGCCATATCCGTAACACCCCAAGCTGTATTTCTGCTGACATCGAGGCCTTCAAATCCTATAATGGGCTTGTAGATGCTACGGCTCATGACCTCCACGGTACCCAGACTCCTCCCTCAAATCCCCTTGAACGTACTATGGTTGAGAACCTTTCCCTGAGGAATACAAACTGTTCCTGTCAGATAAGCCTGTTCCCAATGGTAGTTACTGTTGTCACTTGCACCTGAGTTTGATCCTGTTACCAGTCTGTTACCAGTCTGATCCGTGTGGGAGGAGGCCTCAGAGAAGGTAAAGACCCCATTACTTTTTTTCTCTTCGGAGAATATGATCAGAAGTTTCTCCACCTTGGACCTGAGAGTATTCGCTGGGGTCTGTCGACACTACTGGATCCTTAGAGGTCGACAAGCCATCGGTAAGCATCTATTTTCTTGTCTAGTCTGCAGGAACCTCAAGGGAAAACCTGTCCCTCAAAATGGCCAACTTACCCCCCCTCACGACTCCGCCTGTTTAAGCCAACCTTCTTTTCAGAGGTGAAACTGTCACAGACAAGGTATTAAGGACAGTTATCACAGAGGTGGAGGATGTACTAAATGCAAAGCCCCTTGGATATGTGTCCTTTGACATATCTGACCCTAAGCCAGTCACCCCTAATCTCTTTTAGGGGGCGGCTAGAAGCATCCTTTCGGCAAGCAATATTCAGACACACCGAACTCCTGTCCAACCATCGATGGCGCCTCAGTCAAGCTCTGGCGGACCAATTCTGGACTCTGTATATAAATACTACCTCCCTGCTCTTCAGCCGAGGCAGAAATAGTTCACTGACACCCCCAACTTGGCTATATCCACCGTCGTCATGGTAATGGACCAAAGCTAACACGAGCCCTTTGGCCCATAGCAAGGGTCCAACTTACACCTTTTGCGCCGCCTGGCTATTCGCGTCTTTGCATGTGATCGTGCCACGGAAAAAGTTAGCTTTGTGTTTGGTGTGAACACGACATTAGTCCTCAATCTGTAATCTGTTGGAGCTCTCCCCATGTATTTCTTCAATAAGCTTCAGTTTGTTAGCATGATGCAATGTAAGTAGGGTTTACAGACTTCTCTGCTGGAAACAAAATGTCAGCTGAACAATAGAATTGTCAATTAACTCATTGTTTTCCTGTACTAATGGCTAAACACTATGTGACTGTTTTTATTTACATCACTGAACACGTAATGTTATCCAGCTTGAGTTTATATTAATGTGTGTCTGTGTTTCAGTTTTACATTCAGATGTAAGAAAAGTGATCGTTGTTAAAGAAGAGCAGCAGGAGTGGAGCTCCAGTCTGGACCAGGAGGACCCAGAGCCCCCACACATTAAAGAGGAACAGGAGGAACTCTGGACCAGTCAGGAGGGAGAGCAGCTTCAAGGTCTGGAGGAGGCTGATATCAAGTTCTCATTCACTCCTGTGAAGAGTGAAGATGATGAAGAGGAAGCTCAGTCCTCACAGCTTCATCAGAGACAAACTGAACAGATGGAAACAGAAGCTGATGGAGAGGACTGTGGAGGACCAGAACCAGGCAGGAACTCAGATCCAGATAGATATCCAGAACCAGATACTGTTGACAAGACTGGAGACTCTTCTGACACTGATGACAGTGGTAATTGGAAGAAGACCAGAGAACCTCAGTCAGGTTTAAACTCTGTGAATAATGATGAAGTTTCTGTCAATGAGTCCAGATGTAGTGCTGGTGAGAAACCATTTAGCTGCTCTGAGTGTGGGAAAAGATTTACATCGAAGACAAATCTGAAGATACACATGGTAACGCATACAGGAGAGAAACCGTTCAGCTGTTCAGTTTGTAAGAAATCTTTTACTCAGAATGGAAGCTTGCAGATTCACATGAGAATCCACACAGGAGAGAAACTATTCAGCTGCTCAGATTGTAAGAAATCCTTTATACGAAGAAGAGATTTACAGGTGCACATGAGAGTCCACTCAGGGGAGAAACCATTCAGCTGCTCGGTTTGTAAGAAATCTTTTACACAAAATGGACATTTACAGGGCCACATGAAAATCCATGCGGGAGAGAAACCATTCAACTGCTCAGTTTGTAAGAAATCCTTTCCACGAAAAGGAGATGTACAGACACACATGAGAATTCACACAGGAGAGAAACCATTCAGCTGCTCAGTTTGTAAGAAATCCTTTACACAGAATGGACATTTACTGGACCACATGAGAATCCACACAGGAGAGAAACCATACAGCTGCTCTGTTTGTAAGAAATCCTTTTCACAGAATGGAAATTTACTGCACCACATGAGAATCCACACAGGAGAGAAACCATTCAGCTGCTCTGTTTGTAAGAAATCCTTTATACGAAAAAGAGACTTACAGATACACACGAGAATCCACAAAGGAGAGAGACCGTTCAGCTGCTCAGTTTGTAAAGAATCAGCCGGCAGCTCAACTGAACAGATTAAAACTGAAGGTGATGGAGAGGACTGTAGAGGACCAGAACCAGACAGACATCCAGAACCAGATACAGTTTACAAGACTGGAGCCTCTTCTGAACCTGAGACTGATAACAGTGATGACTGGAAGGTGACCAGAAAACCTCAGTCAGGTTTAAACTCTCTGAATAAAAATGAATTTTCTGTCAGTGATTCCAGATGCAGTGCTTGTGAGAAAAAATGTCGCTGCTCTGAGTGTGATAAAAGATTTGACTGTAAGGCAGAACTGAAGAGACACATGAACACTCACACAGGAGAGAAACCTTACAGCTGCTCAGTTTGTAAGAAATCATTCACACAGAGTGGAAATTTACAGAAACACATGAGAATCCACACTGGAGAGAAACCATTCAACTGCTCAGTTTGTGGTAAAGCTTTTGTTCAAAGCGTAACTCTGAAGGCCCACATGATATCTCATACGGGAGAGAAACCTTTCAGCTGTTCAGTTTGTAAAAAATCTTTTAAACAGAGTAGAAATCTACAGCTACACATGAAAATCCACACAGGAGAGAAACCATTCAGCTGCTCCGTTTGTGACAGAAGATTCACCTGGTCTAATCAAATCAAACGACACAAGTGTGTTCGTCATCAGTCCTCACAGCTTCATCAAAGACAAGCCGAACAGATGGAACCGGCAGGTGATGGCGAAGACTGTGGAGGACCAGAACCAGACAAGAACTCAGATCCAGATAGACACCCAGAACTAGATACTGTTGAGGAGACTGGAGACTCTTCTGAACCTGAGACTGATAACAGCGATGACTGGAAGGAGACCAGAGAAACTCGGTAAAAACAGTTGTTTTTACTACAACATGGTTCCCTTTCCCCACACGTAGTCAAAGATACATTAACAAGTGATCATTTTAACTGCACATTACTGCAGTGATGAAATAAAATCATGTCATAACCATTTTGAGTTTTAAGTCAGGAACCACACTAAAAATACTGAGGCTGTTTACCAAACCGCCTACTACATACTACTGGCAAAGACAGCATGCAGTATAAAGTACATACTCCATACTGCGTCCAACAGTAGTATGAAACTCTTGAATTTCCGGTCTGCTCGGCGTTAGCCTTTAAACAAGCTTTTAAAGCCCTGGACAAAACAAAATATCAATATGGCAATGGTATTAAAAACACACAACTTAATGAGTTTTCTATTTTTTGTTTATGATGAATGTTTGTTTACTTTATAAGACTTATAAGATAATTTAGCTCCCCCATCCTTTAAATATTGTATTCCAACATGTCATGGTGAAATATGAGAGGAGACTGTAAATATAAAACATCGCTTGACAAAATGTGCTTGAACTGCTTTGTTCAGAGAACCACCCAAACCAGCCTCTCTATTAATTTTCCTTTTAAAGAAATAATTACCTTGCACACTATGTAAACTGTTGGGCCTGTTGTGGTTTTTGTGCCTAACTGACTTTTATGCAGCTTTGTTCTTGTAACATTTAGACATAGAGCCTAGAAAGCAGTATTTCAAAGTGTTATTTACTTTTATTCCATTTTAGGCTCATTAGTCTTTATTTCTTTAAGTTTTATTCTTTTTGATGAGATGCTATTGATTTCTTACATTTTATTGAGTTAACAATAGTTTGGAATCAACATCATTTTATTTCTCGTTCTTTAAATTTCATTATTACTGAGTGTTTACTGATAACCTTTAAGTGATTTTCGTTCATTTATCAATATGTAATCGTATGTGCTTCTATACTCACTGAATAAGAAACAGATGATGCACAATGGAAACTGTGAAACAGACTTCCTGACTGATGTTCCACTCAGGAAGACCAGACGGGAACCTTCAGGGGGGCCAAGAATTAAATGTTAACTTAAACAAGTCTGTAATTAATTTAGTCTTCCATATATTGATCTGAAAGATTCTCCAAGTAAAGAGTATATAAATAGGTGGAGACAACAAAGAAAACGTGTTTTGGTTTTTAGAAATCTTTTCTGGTTTTTGGCATTTCATCTTTTCTTTTAAAGTCCGAGAAAGGGTTTTTGTTTTTTTTGTATTTTATTTGTGTAACCTTCAATCTTCATTTTATTGTAAAAAACAACAAATAAAACTGGTTTGTATTTTGTACATTCCAACTAAAGTCCAGTCTTGCTCATATATTTGAATAACAGACCTGCTACAAGCTAAGGTTAAAATGGTGTTCATTCTTTACTAATATTATTTACTAACTTGGTAGGCTCAGCTTGTTTTGATGCTCTGCTGGTTTATCATGCTTGGTGTTGCATGTCTTTAAACATAGCTGTGTGTTTTTTAGGGAGCAGTAGGGGTCTGATTGGCATCTTAATTGTGGGTGATGGGGTCAGGGTCCTGAAGCTGTCCTTTATAACCGAGCAAGGTTCCAAACCAAACAAGGTTCCTCCTCCAGTGGGGGACCTTTGAAAAGGACGGTCTTACATGTAGATTTCAGGGGGTATGTTTTTTACCGAGGTCAGAGGTTACAGAACAGCTGTCTTTGATTTGGTATTTAATCAAACCTTCTGTCAACAGGAAAATAAAGCATCTCATCTTAGCAACCTGAATAACTAGATTTCGTAAAAGTATCCAGAGTGATTTCATTCCCGTTTCATGTTTAAAGCGGAGCTGTTTCCAGGTGTCTGGAAGTTCTTCTGCATATGTTTTAAAAAGAGTATAAAGCCTTAAATGTTTCCAGAGGCCCCTCCAATGAATCGTCCCTTTATGAATTGGCTGGAATGGACTTGTCGCACCTCGACCGGAAAAGGGAAACAAGGGCCTTGTCCGTGGTACATGGGGCAGTGCCCGAAAAAACTTGATGGAGCCGCTGCCCTGTGGGTCCACCACTCGCAAGGATAGGCATTGGGGTTGGGTCCAATGTGAGCCGGGCACAAGGCAAGGGCGGGAAGACCTAGGCATGTCGCATAGGCGTGTCGCATAGCAGATGGTGGTAGGCTGGGGACACGGAATCTGAGTGGGCCATGTTCAAAGTCTCCATTGTGGCTGCTAGGAGCTGTGATCGGAAGGTCATTGGTACCTGTCGTGGCAGCAACCTGAGAACCAGCTGGTGGACACAAGCAGTAAAGGAGACCGTCGAACTGAAGAAGTGGCCTTTCAGACCTGGCTTGCCCAGGAGTCTCAAGAAATGGCAGACAGGTAATGGTTGGCCAGCAGTGCTGCGGCCGGACTGCAGGAGGACTTTCGGTTGGCCTCAAGGAAGTTCTGGCTTAACGGTAAGACGGCCTCAGAAAGGGAAAGCAGGGCTTGTCTCAGGCTGTGTTCAACAGGAGAGGAGAACTGCGGACCCGGACTAAAAAAAAAAAAAAATTGTCGAGCGGCGGAAAGAACACTTTGAGGAACTCCTGAACCCGACTAACACGTCTTCCATGGAGGAAGCAGAGTTTAAAGACTCTGGGGAAGACTCATCCATATTCCTGGCAGAGGTTGGTTAGGTAGTTCAGAAGCTCCCGGTTAGCAAAGTGCCAGGGATGGCTGAGATCTGCCCTGAAATGCTGAAGGCTCTAAACATTTTATGGGCTGTCTTGGCTGACACGTCTCTTCAGTGTCCTGTGGAGGTCGGGAACAGAGCCTGTGGAACGGCAGACCGGGGTGGTGGTTCCCTTTTTTAAAAAGAGGGACCAGAGAACCCCAATTACCAGGGTATCGCACTGCTCAGCCTCCTCGGGAAAGTTTATTCCAGGGTGCTGGAAAGGAGGCTCCAACCAACTGTGTCCGGATACTGGGCACAAAGTCAAACACGTGTCCAGTGCGTGTTGACATCCAGAGTTGTCCCTTGTCACTGATCCTGTGCATCCGGGTGGCGGAGAGTGTCCAGTTGGGGGACCTCAGAATCGCATCCCTGCTCTTTGCAGATGATGTGGTTATATTGGCTCCTTCAGAACGTGATCAGTATGAGTTCAGCCTTCAGCCAAGTCTGAAGCGGTCAGGATGAGAGTCGGTACCTCCAAGTCTGAGTTCATGGTTCTCTGCCATAAAACGGGATTGTACCCTCTGGCTTGGGAGTGAGTAACTGCCCCAAGCGAGGGAGTTCAAGTATCTCGGGGTCTTGTTTACCAGCAAGGGTAAAATGGAGCGTGAGATGGACAGGTGGTTCGGTGTGGCGTCAGCAGTGATGCTGGTATTGTACCATTGTGGTGAAGAGGGAGCTGAGTCGGAACGCAAAGCTCTTGATTTATGTATGGTCACAAGCTTTGGACAGTGACAGAAAGAATGAGATCAAGGATACAAGTGGACAAAATAAGCTTCCTTCATAGGGAGTCTGGGTTCAGCCTTAGAGATAGAGTAAGGGCCTCGAACATCCGGAGGGAGCTCGGAGTAGAGCCGCTGCTCCTTCATGTTAAAGGGGCATATATATCTCTTCTGGACGGGGAACGCCTCTGGGTTCATCAGGAAGAGCTGGGAAGCGGTGCTGGTGAGGGGGACGCTCGGAATACTCTGCTAAACCTGCTACCCCTGTAACCTGACCCCGGATAAGCGGGAGTAAATGGATGGATGGATGGATGCCTCCATAGGGAAACATGTTGGTCTATTATATCTGACCCCTTCCTGTTGCTGAGGTTTCTAATATTTTGTCCCGTTCAGGGTTTTTATGTGATACTTTCTTTCAATCTAGTCAGTCAATTTTGTTTTGATTGACTTGATGGATCTCCATAGAAGTTGGTCTTGTGCGGTTTTACGTGGTGTTTTTGTTCTTCTGTTGTAGTTTCTTGTCTTCCTGCCCACGGGCAACAGATGTAAATTAGCTAATAGCTAACTTTGGTGCCATTACTTTTAATTGTGCACTGCCCCTGCAAAAATAAAAATAAAAAACAAGTAATTAAATACAATATGAAAGTTGGTCGAGTCTGAAGATTACAAGTTTGAAGATGAAAAAAAATCATGTGAGAATTTCAAGATTTGTAGAAAGAAACATTGCTTTCTTTATTTTTATATTGTTTATTTACACCAGTGGTTCTCAAACTGTGGGGCGCACCCCTCTAGTGGGGCGCGGCGGTATTGCAGGTGGGGCGCAGGGGGAAATGCAGAATTTTTTTATTTCAAGAACTTTATTCATACCTGCAAACTTGTCGCTTCTCGGCAAAATAATTCGCCATTTTGAATCAAAAATATATCATCCACGTGAATCGTTCATTTCCCTCCGTTACAGTTTAAGTTACATCATGTTCCGTTACCGTTCAGACTTGCTGGGTTAAGTTAACGTCCACTGCATGCGGAACTTTGTCGACTGTTAACGTTCGTCATTATC